AACATGAATGTTTTTTATTTTCCTCTTTTAAAAACACCATGTCAGAGGCATGGTTCAAAGTATCGATACACCCGTGTATTGGCAGAGGCGTATCAGTACTAAAAACCATGCACGTTTATATTTTTTTAGTTTTTTTTTTCAAAAATTGGTTTTGGGGATTTTTTAAGTATATTTTTTATTAAAAGAAGGGGGTTCCCGAAACACCTTTAAACAGGTGTATCGGGACCCCACAGATACGTATCATATTGAAACTTTGATCCTTGGTCAGAAGGAAAACAAATAGAAATGCTTTCTTGGATGTGTGTTTCAAAAGAGATCCTTTCAAAAACAAAAACATGCTTTCATTTCTAGAAGGCTAATGTTGGTATGTTGTGCATGCATTGAAATATCACATAGATTATAGATCCTCTTATAGGCACTGCTTTAAAGTTCCTATGGATCATATCAATCCACATTTAAATGGACTTGGGTCCAAAATATAAAAATGCCATTACCCAGTGTTGGTTTCCAACTATCTGGCGTCTTAGGAGGGGTTGACTAGATACAGAGGCATGACATTTTTTTACACAAAGTGGCTTCTCTTATACTTGGACCCATGTTCTCATGCTTGTCAAGCCAAGATTCTAGAAGGGGAAAACTCCCAAGGAATAAACTCAACTTTCATTGCCCTAATCCCTAAGAAGAAGGAAGCAAAAATCCCAAAGGATTTCAGACCCATAAGCTTAGTGGGTAGTCTCTATAAAATCATAGCAAAAGTTCTAGCAGGGAGACTAAAGAAGGTTTTGCCCTTGGTAGTCTCACAACAACAAGGAGTCTTTGTAGGGAGACAGATTGTAGACCAGATTTTGGTGGCTAATTAATGCGTTGCAGAAAAGAGGAGGAAAGGGAAGGGTTTGGTGTGTAAGCCTGACAAAGAGAAGGCCTATGACTTTGTGGGTTGGTCCTTCCTCCTGTAAGTCATGGAGAAAATTGGGTTAGGGGAGAGGTGGAGGAAGTGGATGAAGGGATGCTTAAGGTCTGTACAATATTCGATGTTGATTAATGGTGTGGCAAGAGATTACTTTCTAGCAAAAAGGGGGTTGAGACAAGGGGATCCCCTATCTCCATTCCTTTTCACATTAATTGTAGATGTCCTAAGTAGGATGATTTTAAAGGCAGATCACAATAATCTGTTTAGAGGTTGGAGGGTAGGAAGATTGGAGGTTGCAGTAACACATTTGTAGTTCACAGATGATACCATTTTATTTTGTGAGGGAGGCAACCAAGTTTCTATTTGAAATCTGTGAGAAATAATCAATTCCTTTGAATCAGTCTCCACTTTGAAGATAAATTCGGGAAAGAGTTATGTAGCAAGAATAAATTTGGAAGATGAAAATCTGAGGGTGATAGCGGAGACTTTAGGGTGTGAGATCAAGCATTTGCCTTTAGAGTACTTAGGATTACCCTTGGGAGGAAACCCTAGATCAGAGGCTTTCTAGAAACCAGTGGTGGAGAGATTCACAAAGAAATTGGCTGTGGAAGAGAAATTACTTATCCATTGGTGGAAGGATAACTTTAATAAGAGCAACATTAGCAAACCTTCTAGTTTATTTCTTGCCCACCTTCCTTTGGAGTTCTGGTGAGGGTAGCAAGGGAGTTAGAGAAACTTATGAGCGACTTTCTTTGGGAGCTTGGGGAATGAAAAGAGAGACCATTTAGTAAAGTGGGAACATGTTTGCAAGACAAAAGAAAAGGGAGGTCTAGGGCTGGGGAATTTAATTCAAAGAAATACTTCATTGCTAGGAAAATGGTTTTGGAGGTTTTCATTGGAAAGGGACAGGCTGTGGCACAAGGTTTTTGAAAGCATTCATGGGCTAATGAATAATGGTTAGGATGCAAAGGTCGCTCCAACATCAACCTTGAACTCTCCTTGGAAAGCAATTCAAGAGGTATATCCAAATTTTTTCAACTTCATTAGATTTGATGTGGGTTGTGGTTCTAGGGTTCTGTTTTGGGAAGATCTTTGGCTGGGTGACTCTCCTTTTTGTTCCCTTTTCTTCGATCTTTACTTGATTTCTAATTATAAGCAGAGACCTATCTCAAGTTTCATCACCTTCTCTCAATCCAGTGTGAGTTGGGACTTTGGTTTTAGGGATAACGAATGTGAAAGCTTACTACAATTGTTTGACAATTCAGCTTTTCTAGTTCTACCTTTGGAGGACACTAGAGTTTGGTCCACCTCTTCTGATGGTTCCTTTTCCTGTACTTCCTTTTTCAATTCCCTTGTGCAACCTTTATTTATTTATTTATTTTTTTTTGGGGGGGGGAGTCCAGTGAAAGAGATTTAGAGTAAGCCCATTCCACCCAAAATTCGAGCTCTTTGTTGGGAGGTGTTCCTTGCTGATAAAACTCAGATTAGATGTTCGTATATGTTCAGATCAGAAGAAAGAGAAGGAGAAAGAAAAGAAAAAGAAGGAGAAAAGTCACAGCCGAACTAGAGAGAAAATCTCAAAACCTCTAGTCGGCCCTTCTTTTATTTATACTCTTGTAAGATTAAGTGAGAGCCACATCAGCAGAGAAGTACATATATAACTAAACATAAAAGGATTGTACTACCCTTGTACAGTCGACTCTAACACTCCCCCTCAAGCTGGTGAGTATATGTCATATAGTCCCAGCTTGTTACATGTGTAGTCCACTCTTCCCCGATTCAACCCTTTGGTAAACAGATCTACCCATTGATTTCCTGTGTTCACATAGGCTGTACTTATAACTCCACTAAGTACCTTCTCACGTACAAAGTGGCAATCCACTTCTATGTGCTTCGTCCTTTCGTGAAACACTGGATTAGAGGAGATATGAACTGCAGCTTGATTATCACAGTATAGCTTCATAGGAGTGTCAATCGAGTATCCCATCTCCTCTAGTAGATGCTTCAACCACACTAGTTCGCATGTTGTGTGAGCCATAGCCCTATATTCAGCCTCTGCACTATTTCTTGCTACCATTGTCTGCTTCTTACTCTTCCATGTCACTAAGTTCCCACCAAGAAAAGTGCAATACCCTGTAGTGGACCTTCTGTCAGATATGGACCTGGCCCAATTAGCATCCGTGTATCCCTCTATCTCAAGACTTCCTCCACTCTTATACAACAAACCACGACCTAGAGCACCCTTCAAATACCTCACAATCCTTAGGATTGCTTCCCAGTGTGGGATTCTCGGATTTTGCATAAATTGACTCACTACACTGAC